GAGGACTACACACTGTAGAACATAAGCCTGATTAACTCCCATGGACACCAGTAACCCAAAGGACCCTAGACCTAGAGTCCATTCTTTTTGTTTTCATTCAAGCTCCCACAGTCAGTGCAACTGCTCGACTAATTTCAGACAAAGCCCAAACAAGGTAATGCGTCCACAATACAAGCTGTGCTCTACAGATTCCTTCACAAGCCTCCGCAACCAGACAGGAGTAGACAGGTCGCTAATTCAAATCGTCAGTCATCTAAAATTCAAGTATACTATTCACCCAAATGAGGTTATACCTTTCCACAGCACACCTGGCACTGGACCCAATATTACAACTCACGATGAGAAACCCCAGAAGCTGCGCTGTTCCTCCACCTCCCCTCCGTCCGCCTCATGCTGGAAGTCTACACACTCTCACTCTCGTGCCCTGGACATATAACCTTCCCAGGGGTCAGGTGATTAATAACTTGGGTTTCAAGGGGCTTCCTTACATGGAGAGGGAATAACAAAGAGGAAATTAGGGTAGCAACTATTCAGTAAGCAAACGAAGTGTTTCCGTTGGTGGATGAGAAGTGAAAATGGGCCTTTATGGACTTGGTAACCATTAAACAGGAGAACAAGATTCCCCATAAATGAGAACGTTCATCTGCACATAAGGCTGAATAATGTCGAAAGGCTAGGAGGCTACACTGGAAATCGAGCCAGATACCTCCGCTCCCTCTTTGTAAACTGGCAGAGGTGGAGGGAAATCGGGGGCTGGTGGGGCTGGGCACCCTGAGGCAAAGGCCCTGAGAGGCAGCACCTCCACAGTGGGCACAGGGGGCAGGAGGCGGGAGAGGGCAGAGGGGAAGCAGCAGAAGCCAACACTGTGCAGGCCCTTGTCCCCTTTTTGCCTCTTTCCCCTCAGTTCAGAGGACAGTGACAGGAATTACAGAAGGGCTCAGCTGAGTCACCATCAGCCAGAACTCCTCAGTTCAACTCCTAAGAACATTCCTGAGGAGGACCCCCCGTCCATCCTCATCCCCTGGCCCCCTGCTCTGCTGAATGCTCAGAAGAATCTGGAGTAGAACAGGACACAGAAGTCTGTCCCACACCACCTGACCCCGCTGCTGCCTCCTTTTCCCAGCCCTGGGCCATCCTGGTCACTGCCCCCATCAGCTCAAATGGGGCTGGAAAGCATGCACGGGACATAAAAGACAGCATCTCCATCCACAAGACAAATAACGCAGACACCCCGTCAGTTCCCCTGAGTCCACACAGCCGAACACTCAGGAGAGAAAGAAATGAGAAGGAGCAAGGTCAGAGCGGCCACTGCATTCCACCAGGACACCGGGATTCTCACTCAAATCCATCTCTTTACTGGCCACAGAGTAGCTGCTGTTCCTGCCCAGGCACTGCTAAAAACGTGTCAAGACAATGCACTTAAGGAAATAAAAACCAATTCATTACAGAATTGAGGAGGAATGAAGGGGGATGTTAAAACTGCTTTTTATAGTAAAGCACAATTCATCCCTTTCAATATAAGTGATTTTACCAGGCCGTAAAGTGTGGCTATTGATTAAGAATTTGACTTTTCTCTGGAATTCTGCCAAGGATATGAGATAAAATTTTATTTTCTCAGTAGAGGAGTCAAGTACATAAACTTAAAATAAACATCATATACAGCTCATTTGGATTATGACAGCTTCAAACACATCTTTCAGTTTCAGTCAGAAAGAAACCCCAAATTTATCCTAACATTTAAAAGGTCTAAAAAGACCATCCTAATCACATATTCTTAATATATATTTCAAGAACATATTTAAACCACGTGCTTCATTTTGAACAGAACTATTGTCATTTAAATCTTGGTCATTATTTAAATGATTAAAATGGCTTCATTTAAATCTTCATTTGAATCTTGAATGGTTAAATTGCAGAGGGAAAAAGACAATACTCCCGCCAAGTCAATAAGTCTGTCCAGTCAATAAATCTGTAAGTCTGCTTAGAAGGTCTCAATGAAAAGTTTCTGTCAATGACTGCTTCACTGCTCTTTGATTTCTTGAAAGTCACTTCCAGGATTATTTTTAGCTATCTCTTTGCTTTCCTCTAAAATTGAGCCTCACTGTGCCACTGAAAAAGGAGAAACCAACATCCACTATCAAATTACATTTTCTTGAACCTCCCTTTACAAAATATAGCGGGTAACAAAGACCGACTTCGTAATACAATAATTATTACTGGTGCTCACAAAGACCAACGGTGCCAGGCTCTAAATATACACGGAGGCAGCCTGGCAAGCTTGAAGGCCAGCTACTTAAGCGGCGTTAGTTAGAAGCATAAATATGAAGAAAAGCTTCCCTTGATATTCTATGAGGAAACCATCATATCAAAACATGGAAAGATATGCATGCTGCTCCCTTCCTAAGTAACACTCAACTTTCTTCATCTATCCCATTGGAAAGAGAAGGGCTGCAGCCAAGAGTCCAAAATAAGATTTAATAATGAAAGAAACCAAGGACACTGGGCCACGATGCTTCAGGATAACCACACACCTTTATTCTCTGCACATTCATTTAATGCCAACCTAAAACATGCCGGGCAGGTTAAAAATAATGCATTTTATGTAAGCGCTCCCCCCCAACACACACACACACACTCTTGCAAGGTTAAATAGAGAGCTCTGAAAGAATGATTTATTGCCACAAGAATAGAGCCCCAAAATAGATTGGCAATAAAAGTGATTGGTCCCAGTGGGGTTGAGAACTAATGTAAGCGAAATCCTGGCCATGAGAGGCATCCGGGGGAAAAAATACCAGAGCGGGGAACGCATTTCCCGGCCCAGAGTTCCACTCTGAGCAAGTCACTCAACCTCCCTAAAAGCCTTCTGGAAAATAAATAAAATAACATAATAAAAAAACCGTGCTAGCTCCCATCTGTGATGCTTTTTTTTTGCTTTTGCTTTGAAATCTGCTTTATCTTTTTTGGTGCTGAGCTCTGTGCAAAGGAGAAAAGTGAGGTCTGAAATTCACTAACGCTTGCAGAAAACCTCAGCAGCCCTTCAACACACATTAACCACATTTTTCAGCTCAATCCAATTTAACACTAATTGACCTGCCTGCTAGTGCCAGATCTATAAAGGGGGATCAGGATTGCCAAAATGAGTACAAGTTTTTGTGCCATGGACCTGTGTGGAAAGTGAAATGACAGCATATGAGGTCAGACCTTGAGTGACATGGACAATGGGGGCCACGAGGCAGAGAGAAAGGGCAGTCATTGCTCTGAAGCTCTGAACAACCCAAAGAAAAGTGGAGAATCACTACCCATTTGGTGCTGGGGGGTCAGAGGGAACCACAGAATTCAAGAAAGCAAAACAACCCGAGCCATCTCCCCAGACCCCTCTCCAAGTGTGGGAGGCCTGTCCCCAGCACCCAACTCTGAACCTTGGCAGGTGACAGCACCCCTGCTTGAGCACTTCCAGTAGCGGAGACATCACACGTCAGCCCGTTCTATTCCTGACCTGTTCTAATTGTATAAAAGTCCTATTATGCTGAAGTCTTGCTCCTTCTTTCACCCAACCATGGGTACCAGTTTTCAATGTGTGACTACAAAGATAAAATTTAATGCAGAACAGACAAGGAATAAAAAGAAGGCAAGAAAATAAGGTGGAAAGGCAAACAGTCCCAGGGCTAAGAAATGAAAGGCAACCTTGTCTGGGTCACGTGGGCAACCTTCAGTACCAGGCTCAAAAACACCCTGGAAATGAGTTCACACCCTCATCTGTCCACCCCAGTCAATGAGAACCTCTTTTCTGTGTTTCTACATCTTAGGAAGGAATGTCAGATTTTACTGATGGACTGGCCTCTCCATTCAGCCATCCACATTCAATCATAACTGCCCAGGAGCCCCACCCACCTGAGCTAGTCTAACAGGTACACTCCCGACCAGGACCCTCCTGCTTGGTGGGCCCTGACTGTCCGAACCCCTCATCCTACTCCCACCAATCAGAGTGAACGGTCCTTCTCTACCCTCCGCTAGACATCACTGCCCTAGATGCTGGAGCCAAGATCTAGGTCAGGGATTCAGAGCTACCCAAAGGAGGGAAAAGCACTTTTAAAAGACGTTCCAGACTACCCCTGGGATGGGACAAGCGCAACTGCTGCCTAGTTAAATCTGCCCTGACTCTTGATTCCAAGTCAAACAATTAGAGGGGCGGTATGTCGATCGTCTTGGAGGGTGGAAGAAAGGAGCAAAGCAGTGAGCAGCACTGGCTGGTTCTGCCCCAAACTGAACATGAACAGGAGCCAGGGCCTAGGCATGGCCACCAACAGATTTATCTCCCCAGATAAATCCTGGGGAGAGCCACACTGACAGGGAGCAAGTCTTCTGTGGGCGTCCAGTCCAACCTGATGTCTTTGGGGGCTTTTATGAACATAAGAAGTGATTTCTCTACTATGTATATATAATAGAGACGTAAGAAAGTCTGGTCCCACAAGCACCAAAAATTCCATCTGCAGGGTACAGGAGCCTTTCTAACCGAGAGGAGCTGAATTCTGCACAGGATCTATTATTTTGTGACAGGTGGTAGAGTCAGAGAGAAGACAAGCTAGACTTTAGCTTCAGGGCATGAAGGGAAGACGACCCAGTTCTGCTATTAAGAGGTAACCACGGGGCTGCTCTATCCGGCTAGGTGCACCCAAAAAAAAAAAAAAAAAGGCTTGCATTTCAAGGAGTTCACGTTTTCTTAAACCTTTGCTTTCTGCAAAGACCTCACGGGGAGAGGGAGCACTAAGGAGTGTATCACCCCCAAGCTGACACTGTAGAGTCGGCATATGTCACTCCCAACCACAACCAATCTGTAAAACTGACTAAAAAATAACCCCGCCTGGCAAAGATCAAGAAATCGAGGGGGAAAACAGTACTAACCCAGGTATCCATCCACTAATACTGCTAACTTCTGCCTCTGACCGTCGCCCTCCCGCTGCAAATTGCTCCTGTGACCCAGATTACCGAGCTGATCTCACCGAATCTGGGTGGTGATTTTGAGAGAGGCCACGGAGAAACGCGAACCGCGGACTGACCCCCGGCGCGCGCCCTATGACAAGCCGCTCCTCCCAGCACCCCTGGCCCCGTCGACCTCCCAGGGGCCGCCGCCAGCAGCCCGCACACGCCCTGCGCCCGCCCCGGCCCCGCCCCGGCCCTCCCGCCTGGGCTCTCCGGAGCCGAGCCTGCATCCTCCTTGCCCCGCGCCTGGCCCGCTGGGCACTGCACTCCGGACGGCGGGCCTCGAGGCCGCCGCCGCCAGCTCCTTAGCAGCCGCCCGGACGCACGAGCAGACGGGACCGGGCGCGCGGACGCGGACCCGGCTCGCGCGGGATCTCGCCGGGGCAACAAGAGGCACTGCCGCGGGGGTCCCGGGGACGCCCTGTCACGCCCCCCGCGCTTCCTCCGGATCGCAAAGCTCGCCTCTCCCACCGCCACCCCCTCCTCGCCGGAAAGACACCTGGCAATGCCTCCACCTGCAAGCCGCCCAGGCGGTGCTCCGCGAGCGCCCGCCCTACGCCTCCCCCCAGGGCCACCACGTTCCCAGATGTCCCTTCCAGGCCGCCCCCGGAGACAATGGCTCGCTCACCCGCCTCCCGGCCGGCCGCGCTTCATCTCGGCCAAGTCCCCCCCCCGCACACACACACACACACACACCCCTGGGCAGCGGGTGCCATGGCTGCCCCCTTTCACAGAAGTGTAGACCGAGGCCGGCAAGGTGACAGGCTGGAGGACCGAGCTGAGAAACCTGAAAGCCAAGGGGGTCGAGGAGGGGCCAGGTACACGTCGGCCACCGAGACCGGCCCCAACACCAGCCCGCTTTCCCCGGCCCGGCCCCGCCGCACCGGTCCGTTCGGCCTCCGGGGCAGGAGCCTCCGCCCTCGCCGCCCCCTCTTCGGCCCTCCCGCGAGAGAGACAAAGAGCCGGCGCCCCAACCCGTGGAGCTGTGGCCGCCGGGGGCGGGAGACCAGAAGGTTTTCCCTGGGACGAGAGGCGGGCGCAGGGAAGAGCCGGTCGGCGGCGCGAGGGGCTGCGCGGCGGAGG